TGCATAAGTTTCCCTGGTTTTGCTCTCATGTTACTTTTTACAGGCAATGGCATGAGTCAAGCAACCTCTTAAGCTAAGGACATGGGCCGGGTTGCTCACATGCATGTTTTTCTTTATTTTTTGCGGGAGTGGGTATTGAACTTAGGAATGCCACTGAGATATATACCTCAGTCTTTTTTATTTTGAAATCTAATTTTATTCAGAGCATTTTTAAATTTTTATTTTTATTTTTTAGTTGTTGATGGACCTTTATTTTATTTATTTATTTATATGTGGTACTGAGAATCCTAGGCTCTACCTCTGAGCCACAATACCAGCCCTCCTTTTTATTTTGAAAGAAGGTCTTGCTAAATTGCCCAAGCTGGCCTCCAACTTGAGATCTTCCTGGCTCAGCCTCTTGAGTAGCTGGGATTACATGCTTGTTTTGCATTCAAAAGTTCATGGGCGTTTTCTGCATTCCAAGGGTTTTGGGGTACTTCTTTTGAGATTCCATATGACTTTTTGTACCCCCAAATACCCATCACCACCTTTATCAGTTGGTGATGTCATAGAATAAAATAAAAATTTGAAATTTAGGACAGGGGTGGGGATTCTCCCCTGTCAATGGGCCATTTCGAAATTCACGGGAGAATTTTCATTGCTTTTGTTATAATGACCTTTCCACTCCCTATGCCCTCTTTACCACTCCACAATTTTGTGGGCAGAGTTCTATCCACAAGGTTAATAGGGAGCACCGCTATAGATCAGAAAAGTTCAAGGTAGAATCTGAACAGAGTTTATAGTTAAAATAACCATGAGTACTCTGAGGAACATGAAGAAAAGAGGAAAAGAAGAAATTTGGGAATGATGATGTAATAGAAAGGAAATTAAGGCTGGTGCTAGTCATGAAAGAAAAAGGAGGAAGTAATTTCTTGAGATAGCAGTCTGAAGAAGTAGAATAATGTGGTGGAGCACCAGAATTCTGGCTCACAATCCTGAATAGTTTCGTAAATCCAGAGCTGAAAACCACAAGGCTTTTAGGAGTTTGAACTGAAAACATTTGGAGAGGTGGTGAAGTCTTTTCTAACATCCCTAAAAAGACTATTTATGTTTCCTTTTTTTGTTTGTTTTTTTTTTACTTTAGAAGAGTATTTAGAAATAAGGTGCAGTTTCCATTCCAACCTAATTAATAATTGAGAGGCATTGTGTGAGATTTAAATCCATTAAATCTGGGTTTATTTAAATTATTTGGGAAGGAACAATTCTGGATGGGGAGCTCAGAGTATGGTACTAAGTGCTTAAGTTAAATGTCTTCAATAGTCATACCTCTTAGGTTTTCTGCTTTAATTTACAAAGGAAAATGAACAGAGCACTATTCAGGGCAGTGTTGGTCTTTGATAATTAAATCACTTGGCTTATTATTAAATTCTTAAGAGTTCTTTAGAAATTTACACTAGGAAATAATTTTCTTAGGAAAATGTTGTAAATGGTAGTTGGCTTCCTAGCTTAAGGCATTTAAAAAAACTTCTGAGCTTTTTAATGTGTATTGTGGTAGTTTTACAGTACCTAAAGATTTGATTTATAGGCTGGATAGTAAAGTGAACTGGAACAGGATTTCCTTGCTCATTGTTTCTTACCTGCTGCCTGAATTCAGGGCTTTTTTTGTAGTCCAAGACTGTTACCTGCAGTTGGGCAGGTGTGCACTACACAATTCTAGGGGCTCATTTGTATTGTTTGTGTTAATGGCACCCCCAGAGTTTTTTACTTATGCAAAATGTGACCATATGTGGTGGCCTTGTAGTGAGTTAAAAAGGAAAAAAATCATAAAGCATTATTTTAATATTTTCACAAATAAAACATTGACTTTTAAAAAAATATTTGTTATTGTAGATGGACATGATATCTTAATTTTTTTATGTAGTGCTGAGAATTGATCCCAGTGCCTCACATGTGCTAGGCAAGCACTCTACTATTGAGCCACAACCCCACAACCCCAGCCCCCATATTGACTTTTTATCAGAATCTAATCACTTCATAAATTTCAGTCTGGTTCACACCTTGACTTGGTTTTTAAATTCAGAACCATTTTCCAGTGATCAGAAGTCTCTTAGGTATTTGAGTTTAAAACCTTTGGCTAGGTTTAAAATGGTGGGAAAAAATGGTTTTTCAAGATTTTTTTCATTATAAAAAAACTTTAATACAGTCTCTATAGCACTATTTAGTGGCTAAGGAGGTTTATATAAAAATCATACTGAGCTTATTTATGGTTAAGTAGCTCGTTAGTTTGGTAAGCAGGATACTTTAATTTTTTTTTTTAAAGATATTGATGTATCTTCATTTTATTCATTTATTTGTATGTGGTGCTGAGGATTGAAAACAGTGCCTTACATATGCTAGGCAAGCGCTCTGCTACTGAGCCACAACATCAGCCCCAGGATACTTGTTTGAACAGTGGATATTTTACTACATTATTTCAGTTGAGATGTACCATAATTTCAGTTGAAACAGTTTTGAAGCTGTTGGTTTTATGCATTACTTAGAAATTATACTGTCAAGTAAACTCTTAACAGACCTTTCTTAATTGCTAAATTTTTTCATTTTTTGATTTGTTTTGCATTTTTGAAGAGTTGTTAGATTTATTTAGAAAATGAATGTAGGTTTTTATTATATATCACTTGTACCTATATAATAATAGCAAAGTGAAATAAATTGGTTAAATGGTCCTAAGGTTTTCATAAAGTCTGACTCTTATAAATCACTTTTCAGCTAGTCATTATGGAAGTCTCCCTCCTTTCTTTTCCTTTCCCCACCAGCGTAGTAACATATCTTTCAAAGTATTGACAACGCAGCAGTTCTTAAGGGAGTGCTCCAGTATTTTCCTATCAATTTTAAATTTAGTGGTTTGATGTTTGTGATCTCTTAAAAGCATTTTAAGTGCTTTAGTTTTTTTTTGTGTGTGTGTGTGTTTGATGGGGATTGAACCCACGGCCTTGTACATGCGAGGCAAATGCTCAGCAAACTGAGCTATATCTCCAGCCCAGTGATTTCAATCTTAACTTATTTATTTGTTGTTTGTTTGTTTTGTTTTGTTTTGAAGAGATTGGTATCTCATTATGTTGCCCAGGCTGGCCCCTAATTCCTAGGGTCAGGCTATCCTCCTGGTTCAGCCTCCTAAGAGGTGGGACTACAGGTGCTTACCACTGTGCATGGTAAATTTTTAACCCTTTAAAATACTTCAGGGCTTTTGCATGTGACCATGTGGTTTGCACAGTGTTGTCTATGAGCAGCTGTGTTTTGTTTTCTTTTTAATGTCCTATGGAGCACTTGGAATTATTCATCTAATTATGAATAGTTACTTCACTGTATCCCATTGCTGTTTTATTTTATTGCCTTTGTAATAGACAGTAAGTTTTAATTCATTTCAGAATCATCTTGTAAATATTTTGAAGACTTTAAGCAGCAGTTGAAACTAAAAATAAGCCTGTGTGCAGACAACTGGCACAACTGCCATACAACTAATGGCAGTTATAACATAACTTCTAGGGGCTGGGGATGTGGCTCAAGCGGTAGCGCGCTCGCCTGGCATGCGTGCGGCCCGGGTTCGATCCTCAGCACCACATACAAACAAAGATGTTGTGTCCGCCGAAAAACTAAAAATAAATAAATAAATTCTCTCTCTCTCTCTCTCTCCCTCTCCTCTCTCTTAAAAAAAAAAAAAATAACATAACTTCTAGTTAAAATGCATTCTAACTTCAGTGAAGTTAAAATGTAAAAGAAAATGTGTAATATTTTTACTGCATTTTTCCATTTTTGATGTTATTTTAAGACTACTTTATGGTCTATTTACTTTTTTTTTTTTGTACCCAGGGATTGAATCCAGGGGTGCTTAACCATTGAGCTATATCCCCAGCCCTGTTTATATATTTATTTTTATTTGAGACAGAGTCTTACTAAGTTGCTTAGGGCTTCACTAAATTGCTGAGGCTGGCTTTGAACTTGTTATCCTCCTGCTTCAGCCTCCTGAGTTACTAAGATTATAGGAATGTGCCACTGTGCATAATATATTTACAGTTTTTTATACCATTTTCTAAGATTTGATCTCTTAAAATTATGGGATTCCCTTTTGCCTGGACAGGGTCTTGCTAAATTGCTAAATTCAAGGCCTTGAAATCCTGATCTCCTTGCCTCAGTCTCCTGAGAAGCTGGAAATACAGATGCATGCCACCATGCCTGGTTTACAGTTGCTTTTGAATTGTTACTCATGAAATTCATTAGCTTATTTTAACTTGATGAACCAAGGTGATTTAAAAAAAATTTTTTTTGTAGTTATAGATGGACAACATGCGTTTATTTTATGTGCTTATTTTTGTATACGCTAAGGATCAAACCCAGTACCTCACATGTGCTAGGCAAGTGCTCTGCCACTGAATCACAGTCCCTGCCCCCCAACATGATTTAAAAAAAAATTTTTTTAGTTGTAGATGGAAACAACATTTTATTTTATTTATTTTTATGTGGTGCCGAGGATCGAACTCAGTGACTCATTCACGTGAGGCAAGCACTCAACCACTGAGCTACAATCCCAGCCCCCACAAGGTGATTTTTTTAAAGCATCACTGGGGTATAAAGTGCTGAGTAGATAGTGGGGAAAAGGTATGGCAGATGGCTGTGGGATAGGTGAGGAGGCTTCTTAATTAGTTTGGTAATCTTTATTGTCCCTTATGGCGATGGGGGACCCTTCTCAAGGAACTAATAGAAACTAAAGGAGAGTATCCTTTAATTTGTCCCAAGTTCCCTGCATAGTCTGCTTTTACCTGTCTTGGAAGTTTAGTCTTGTGCTGTGGGTGGATTTATTCATTTCATTTTGCCTGCTTTACTGTTATAAATAGGAATTAAAAAATGTAATTCTTGTTATTCTGTTTTGAGAGGAACATAAGCAAAGCACTCGTGGCTGTGCTTTCTGACCTGGAATTCTGCATTTAATCTTGACTAATTTGTGCAGCTATTCTTCTCTTTAACAGGTTTCTCCCCATATAAAACTCTTTGTAAAAATACGCAGAAGAATGGCAGCGGAGACGCAGACACTGAACTTTGGGCCTGAATGGTGAGTTTTCAAAGTCTCATCCTGTTTGATATTGGATGACTAGAAAGGTATTTGATCAGGTACTGGGTGGTGTGTACATGTACACGTTTTTGAGACTTTGCTTCATGTGCCTAGTTGAAAACTAGTAATAAATTATATTTGGTAAATGACTGCATTTTATACTTAATTGGAATGTTTTTCTTGGTCTGGCTATGTAATGGGAATGAAATTCAAACTCTACAGCTCCATCACCCTAGAAAATTGTTTGTTTTGTTCGAGCCCTTGTCTAGGTACATTTTTTTGGTACATATTAAATTTTATATAATTGTAATATTTTAATGTGTATGTTTTCTGCTATAGTGTGTGATTGCTATTCATAGATGCATTTGAAAAATTGTTTTGTATGGAAATATTGTTTGAATTTTATTTTATCGATGGGCTAGGCAGGTAGTCCAGAATTATACTGGTTGTTAGCAGTAGCCCATCTAGGATTGAGTTAGCATTTTCCACAATAACAATTAATTGACCTTTGAGTCTCTTACAGATGTGTTTGGACTCCGAATATGGAATTCTCATGGAATTTTGAGATCCATCACATTGTAGTGTGACTCCCCCCCCCCCTTCCTTTTCCCCAAAAGTTGGTGCTTGAAGATCCTCTCTTCAGTGGCGTGAATAATGATAGTTACTTTTTTCATTTATACCTCGAACAACCCTTTTGGTAATGTCAGAGGCACAGTGTCTAAAGTATAGATAAATTGGAGTAGTGTCTTAAACATCCTTTATTGTTCAGGTGCTGGTGGTTTGATAAGTAACGCAGACATCTTGTAGTAGCTCCTTATTGGAGGACTTGCCCTGTTATATGCATTTCTTTTTATATGTGATTCCTAGATTTTCTTAACCTTTATAGCTAGCATTTGGAGACTGAGGAGAAATCACTATTTGAAGTCCTGAGAACTGATGGAACTCCTATACTTTTGAGAGTTTATTTTGAATATGTTGACTTAATACTGTACCTGTTTTCAGTTATCATTTTATATTTTAAAACTAATTTTCTTATTACTAGGTCATGTTTCTAGAAAAATTAGAAATTATAAGTAATTCAGAAGAAGGTATAATCACCATAATTTTACCATACATGGTAACCACTGTAAAATATCTTGGTGTATTTTTCCAGGTGGTTTTATGTATCTTATTTGTATATGTGTACATTTATTTTTACAAAAATGGGATCATGCTGTGCATTAAATTTTGTAACCTTTTAAAAAATCAGTAATTCCAAAGCATCTTTTTTATCAATAAATATTTTCTATTCTATTAAATAGTTGCATTGTATGGATGTACTATTATTGATTTAACTAGTCCTCCATATGTAGCATATAAAAGCTATTCTCAGTTTTTAAATATTCTAAAAGAACATTCTTATAGCTAAATCTTTATTGATAATTCATTAACTTCTTTTACCAACTGAATTTAAATTTATATAGTTCAGTTTGTAAACCATTTTGTGTGTAGCTCTTCTGTTATTATTTAGAATTTGTAATTGCTTCTTTTGTATTTATATACCCTCATATCTTTTTCTTTGTAAAAACATGATTAAAATCATTAGGTAGTTTAAGAAAGTTTAAAAAAAATCACTGTTAATAGGTAACAAGAGAGTAACACTAGAAATTTAACTGAAACAAAGGAGGAACAAAACTGGTGATGATGTAGAGTTACTTCATATTTAGCTTAGTGTCTTAAAATGAGGGTTGGCAAATTGTGACCTGTGGGACTGTAAATAAAGTTTTTGTAAATAAAAGTTTATTGGAGGACAGCTGTACCCATTTGTTTCCATATTATCTGACTACTGTTATGCTACTTGGGCAGGGTTGAATAGTTATATCAGAAGCCAACTGATTTGCAGAGCTTAATTTTCTTTCTGGCCTGTTATAGAAAAAAATTCGGAGTTGGGGGGCAAAAACATAAATAAAAGAAAAGAAAAATTTGCTCGCTCATGCCCTTCGCCATATGTTCCCAAATAGTCATTTTAGTGTGTCATTGACCAAGTCTGTCAGTAGCATCTTACACATCTTCCTTTTCATTGGTATTTTGAATTTTGTTTGTGTTTTAAACAAAATTTTGAATTGAGTGAGCTTTAGCAGAGGGCATTTGCCAGTTCCTTAAATCCTTAAGCAGTAGCTTTATCTAATTGTTACCTCTGTTACCCGATAAGCGTTAGAATTTAGGACCCTTCACTGAGTCACCTAAATGCCCAGGAACTGAGGAATGGAGGTCTGAGTAGGTATTCTTTATTTGTACCATCTATCAAGATTACTTTTGGCAAAGGAAATAAATGAATCCCTTAAATAACTCAAGTAGCCGTGAGCTAGAAAGCTGCAGTGTAACTAGAGACTGCTGCCATATTTTTCTGCAAGTAACATGTTCATTATGAAACATGAGGTAAGGAACTGTTTTCAAAATACTCAAGAATAAAGGGTTAGTTATTACATTGATTCAGTGTAACTGAACCATACAGAACCATTTAGTGATGATCTCATTACTAAGGTCATCATCTTTTAATGAATAATGTAAAATATAATGTTTAATAATACATGCACAAAATGAAGAGATTTATTCATACTTGGGGGGCAGTTGTGAAGATGAGAGAACATCTGTGAGCATCTGTGGTGGGGATGGATCACACTCTGAAGACTTAGAGAGACTTGGACCAAGACAGAATTCCTTAGGTCTTAGATTATATTTGAAGTAAAGAGATGTATCAGATCAATCAGTTTAAAAGGGTGTAATAAATTTAATGGAGAAGTTGCTCATTTCTAGTTATAAAACAGGAGTCACTTTTTCAAAGCCTTTCAACAAATGCTGCTACCTTAGACCTTTCCTGACCCATCTCTACAACTCACCACCCTACTCCCTTCCTCCCTGGCTTCTTCATGGTCTGTATCAAAGTGTAACATGCCAAATATTTTATGCACTTATTTTCAACCCTCACTAGACTGTGAGCTCCATTGAGGGCAAGTACTTGGTGTGGATTTTTGTATAGCTTGTTCTTTGCTGTATCTCCAGTGCCTGGCACATAGTTGGGTACTAAATAAACTTTTGTTAAATGAATGCGTAAATTATTGGAAAGTAAAGTTGTTTTAAATGTTTTCCTACTGTAAATGATATATATGTACATACATTTTTTCTTGAATGGTTTTGTTTGTATTGCTAATCATTTTTTGGATTAATTCCTTGAAAGTGGCATTATTAAATCAACAAGTTTCATTTTTAAGGTTTTTGAATGATATATGGGCAGGTTGATTAATTCCCATTTCCTGTGTGTTTACTTCACCCTTGACAAAACACTTGGTACTATCTTGATAACTTTTTGATGCTAAATCCCTTTGATTTAGGTCTTTGGGAATTTTTTGTTGGTCCCTATAACACAACAAAAAGACCCATTTCAGAAAACCTGGAGGAAACAATACTACAGAAAGAAAAGGAAAAGATTTAAGTTGCCCTTCATCCTACCACCCAAAGAGCCTTTTGCTAACATATTGATTTGAATCCTATTAATTTTTTCTTTGCAAATGTATACTTTTGAGATATTTATAAAACAAATACAACTTTACTTGATTTATTTGGGTTTTACAGAATTTTGTGAAGATCAAAAAATCTACCCAGATAAATTTAGATAATTTTATTGTAGGGAGTGAAATTATAGACATGGTTTAATGGGGGAGGAGCCAAGGGAATTTCTTTAGGGAATTTCTTTTTTTGTCTCATCTCTCCATTGGACTTAAGGATGTCTTCCCAGGTCTTGACCTTGCAAAAGAGGGAGGTACTCTTCTGCTCCAGAATACTTTGTTTAGATTAAAAAAAAAATAGTTAACCATTTTGTGGCTGATCTCTTTCTATACGTTTTTGCTTCAGAAAGAAGTAATTCTATTAAGAGAGACCTGTGTTTCTGAATTTTGCTAGGCCCATTATTTAGCTTAGTGTACCAGATGTAGGCAATGTTTGTTGAATGAAAGTATTTAGGTTTTATTTATTCTTATTTTTTGGGGGAGAATGCAAACCTGAGATGGCTAGCTAGCTTACTATTCAGAATCTTTGTGTAATTTGAAAAATTGGGAGAAGTTCTAGAGGATGGAATGTGTCAATATTCCCAGGTTTCAGAAGGGTATAAGAAGTAGTAAACTAGGGTAGTAAATTAGATATTATCTAAACGTATACTTTAGAAGAGAATACTAGGATTTATATAAAAAACACTTTATCAAGTACCTGCTGTATTCTGTGTCTGTGTCTAGATCTCAGCTTCTTGCCTTTTTCTCCTACTACTCTCAACTCCCTCTCTTTATTCTGCCTCTCTTTATCATGCCTTTCTTTTCTTCCCTGTTCTTCCCACGTAGCTTATCTTCTCCCTAGAATCCTTCTCTTCTCCATTGGTGAAAAAGTTCAGGAAAAATATTCTTGACAGCAGAAAGGGCATGTTTAAAGACAACGTGGCAAGAAAGTGTAGATTTAAAAGAACTCCATGATATTTGCTTTTACTGTAACATGAAATGTGAGTGAAATGAGCTTGGAGGTGACCCTTCTAAGAATCTCAATGTTTTGTTTGATTATTGTGTGCCAATAAAGAATTGGAGAGTTTTATTTAGATTTGCCTTTTTTTAAAAAATAGTTTTAGGTGTAGATGGACACAATACCTTTATTTTGCTCATTTAGCTTTTTTTTTTTTAAAATGTGCTGGGGATCAAACCCAGTGCTTCATACGTGCTAGGCAGGCACTCTTACCACTGAGCTAAGATCCCAGCCCCAGATTTGCTTTTGAAATAAAATTCCCTTGTAATGTGGAGGATGGAATAAGACTAATTATATAATTTAGGATGGTGTTACAAAAATAAAAGTATGAATTAGAATGAGGTTATTGGATCAAGAAGCCAGATGCTGTGGCGCGCGCACCTGTTAGGAGACTGAAGCAGGGGCATTGCAAGTTCGAGGCCAGCTTCAGCAACTTAGTGTAGATTAACTTAGCTAGACCTTGTCTCCAAATAAAATAACAAAATGGGCTGGGGATATGGTTCAGTGGTTTAGCATCCCTGGATTCAATTCTCAATTTAGAAAACAAACAACAAAAAAATATGACTTAAGAGATTTAGGATTTGTTAAGATGTATAAGGAGGTATAAGAGATGGTAGATTGTGAGGGGAGAGTAAAGGGTGAATTCTAGACTCTTATTTAGTGATGATTGGGTGGTGGAATTCTTAACTGCCTCTGGGAATGGAGGTTGGGATGAATGAACTGATGAGTAAGGTTTGGGCATTGTTGACCCTGATGGGCTCTCTATGGTTCAACATGAAGCCTGCCTCTGCAGGAGAGGTCAGAGCTGGACTTAAAAGAATCATGAACTTATGCAGGAGAGCTTTTTGACTCCCAAACCTTCACACATCTATATTGACATTCCACATTGCTTTTTAAAACTGAAGTTTGGAGTTTGAATAGCACTAGTAAGTGTAGATGGGGGCAAATATGGGGGTATTGGGGGTATTAGGAGTCCTGCCACTGCTACCTATCAGTTACTGCCTATGGTAGGACAGGGCTTCCTGTGTTAAAACCTCTCAGACAAGGAGGTGAAGTTCTTGAGAGCAGGCAGTTTTCTTCACTTTTGGCAATGTTGATGAACTTTGCAGACCAGTGGAGTGGAGAGAAGCCAGCTGTCAGTGGGTTTTGAAGGAAGTAAGGAAGTAGGGATACTTCTGGAATGAAGAGGAGAGATGAAGAGTTTATGGCTAGAAGTGGGATGCTGCATTAAATACCACTATTAGCTGAGTTTAGAAATGGGAAACATGTAGGGAGGTGTTAGATTTCTAGATGAGGGGGTTGTGTGGAGGAGACGAAGACTGCTGATGGGTTTTTAGGGAAGGATGTAACCCAGATATATTTTGGCTTTTCTAAGAATTTGTATATGAATGAGGACTTGGAATAGAACTTGATGATGACTGAGTCAGAACACAGTCATTATTCTAACACAGGGGACCCTCTTAATTTGACTCATTGTCACCTTTCTCAATCTTTCCGCAGCAGCTGGAGGATTTATCAATCACGTTACTCTCAGTAGATCTAGTACTTACAAGAATTGTTCTGTCCTGGACATTGGAAGGGCATCCAGGATCCATTGGCAGGACAGGGTGGTAAATGGAATTGAAACCTTTCTGTGAGGAGCATTTGAAGAAATTAGAGATGATAAGCCACTAGGGGGAGTCTCTAGTGAGACATGGCGACTTTGCCAGGACTGGAATGATTTTCACTTGAAAGAGGGCTTAGATGTGCCCTCAGTGGTAGAAGTTGTGGGGAAGCATGTTAGCCTGGTATAAGGAAAATAGTTTAAAATAATTTCCAGTAAAAAATATATGTATATTTTAAAATTGGTAAATAAACTGTGGCTATTTTAAACATTTTTAGAGACCTCATGATTAGAAAGATCATGCCCTATTTGCCATAAAAACCTAGGCTTGATCTTTGTTCTGCTGACTGTGACTATGTGCTAGAAGTTTAACCCCTCAGCTTCATTTTTCTTATCTGTTATTTTGAGGTTATGAAACTTAAAAATAAGATCAAATGAGCTAATTATGTATAAAATTCCCAGCTTCAGTTTTCAGGGGATGTTACTTTTACTTTTTTAGGGTATAGCCCAACTTTATGGAGCTGTATTGAGAGCTGTTTCCTGGAAGGTTCTTCAGCAGTGGTTGGATGGCTCTTTTGGGTCATGTTGTTTTCTTACTGGTTGTTTAACCTGTCTTATGGGGGTTGTACTGAATAATCTCTAAGCGCAAAAATAATTTCAGAGGAAACAAAGACCAATCAAGTAGTAATGAGCATTCCTGGTAGCCAGATAGTGGCCTGTTTATTAATTAGAGATAGTCCTGGCTCCTTGAAGAAATGGATGATCCCAGTTCTGAGGCAAGATAATACAAGATAAGTCAGAAGATTTTGACATATCAGAGCAAACACTGTTACAGATTAATAGAATTATGTCAGAAGGACCCAGGAATAAGATTAGAGTTGCCCACTGGTCAAAGATGAGACAATTTGGACATTGTTAAGAGTAATTGCAGCTTAATAAAAAGTATTTTGTTAGTGTTGAAGGATACTAGTAAACCAAGCCATTATTTTGAAAACTAAAAGTTTAAAGGAAACAGTCAAGGTGGATTTTCCTTCCTTCCCTGTATAAACTATGCCATTGGGTAACTACGCCAAATAGTATAAGAGGGAAGCTTCTCTTTGCAAAAGTAGTCCATCAAATAAAGAAGGAATTATAGAAAAAATCACTTTGCAACAAACTTGGTGAAATTAGGAATCCATGCATTGATTCTGAATGACTTAGCATCACAAAAACAACCAGGCACTGTATGTCTCCTAATGTAATCATAAACCACTACATATGAAATATTGCCAAAAAAAGTAGAACCCACATTTTAAGTCTCTATACCCAGCTGCCAATTTACATGAAATGCAGAGGACATCATGGGTCAAATCAGGAAAACCAGACTTCTCAAAGAAGTCCCTATTTTTAAGAGATTCTAAAATATGAGAAGAAGAAGTGATAATCCAAAGGTTTACTTCAAAGTGGTATCAAGGTTTTTTAAAAAGGTAGAATGAGAAAATAGAAACATTGGAAAAAACCGCTATAGTCTCACTCTTTTTTTGTACTACTTTCTATGTGGAAATACATTTTTATGTTTAGTACGCATATGTTTTTTCTTGCCACTTTTAAATACTATGCAAATATTTACTGTGCTTTTACCTGGCTTTCATACGGGCTTCTAATATGTTATAATTTAGTAGATCGCTCCCTTCTTTTGCTTTTGTGAATAGAGCTTAACAATTTGGGGTATGACTTTTATTGCTTTTGTTGGATTTCTTCTTTAGCAAACCCACTTAAAGTACTTTGGTTCTTTTTCCCCTTGGCATCTGTCACGTTTATAGATCTTTGCTTCTAATATTAGTTTTCCCACATGCTCTTTGACACAGTGCTGCAGTAGGATCTGACTTCTGCCATTTTTTTTGCTGAGGTTTTTCTTTCATAAAAATATTATTAAAAATCAAAATGGTTCTTTCTTCCCCATTTCTGTTCCTTAGAGGCAGTGTCAGCTTGGAGCACATTTTTATTTTTTATTTTTAGCAATAAATACATTAATTGCCTTTATTAAAATATATTATGAAATATTACAGGTATATACAATTATAACAAGCTTCCATATACTTGTCACCAAGCTGATAAAATAGGCTATTAAAGGTACAATTAGAGCTCCTTTTATACTTTCCTTCCCTTTGCAGATATAACCTTATCCTGAATGTTGTTTTTGTCAATTTCATGTTTGTTTCTGTGCTTTTACCATATTTTGTATGTCTGTAAATAGTTAATCCTATATGTGATATATACATTTTATACAAAAGTTATTTTTATTGTAAGTCTTGTATTTTGCTGTTATGTCACATGCTTTATTAAACATTTTAACTATTAACAATTAGCTGTTATTAACAGCTTTTAAATAATTAGTGATTATGAATGATTGCTTGTTTCAGTGATCTCCTTCAGCACTGCTTGAGACTTTTCATTGTTTTACATCCCTACCAATACCTGGTATTGCTAAGACTTATTTTATGAATCTAGTGGGAAAGTGGCACCTCACTTTTTTATAATTTGGTAAAATATCCCCTTCCTAACTCCCAGGCTTCTTAGGAACATACTGTGACACCTTTTAAGTTAGGGAATTGCCATGGGTTTGCCTAGTTAATTACCTCTTATTGAATTGCTCTCTCTGTGCTGTGATAGCAAGTTGTAGTCAAGGTCAAATCTTTGGTACCTCGAGATAATAAGGTTTATTTTTATTCTTCTCAGGAACTAAAATGAATTTCCTTGCAGTGTATTATATAGAGTACAAACTCAACAGTGCCAGAATATTTGCCACTTCATTTTGTATTTTGTTTTTCCTATTCTAGGCTCCGAGCTCTATCCAGTGGTGGGAGTATTACATCCCCTCCTCTTTCTCCAGCATTGCCGAAGTATAAATTAGCAGATTACCGCTATGGCAGAGAAGAAATGTTAGCACTTTTTCTTAAAGACAACAAGGTAAGAAAGTAGGAAGAATTTAAAATTGTGAATGAGACTTGTGTAGTGATATATTGATATATGAAAAATATTTATTCTGTCCGTGTATTGACCTGTATTTTTTTCCTCTACCTTACCTTTTCCTACATTGAAACAGACAGTGTTAACAGAGGCTATTCTCTTCTTTTTAGAGAAGATCATGTTTCAGTGTCCTTATAGGAGCATACAGCAAGAGATAGCAGTAGCACTATGCCTTCTCTAGCTAATTTCTTCTTAACTTCCCTTTTTTCTCAATTTTTGTCCCAGTTTGATGGCTGAGAAATGAAGAATTTCTCCCTTATCTGTATTACACCTCTTATCCTTTCCAGTTAGAAGCCAGGAACAAGAGGAAGGGTAGCTTTTCTATCCTTTCCCTGTCTGAGTTAAATATAGTTTTTAGTGGAGAAAAATCTTAAGATGTATTTCTGTCACTTGTAAATGATTAAACTGAAACAGTGTAATAATACTGAGAGAAATACTATTCTGTTTTTCCAGTATGCTTTATTTTTCCTGCATTGATGGATGGAGATTCTTTAATTTTAATGTTGCTAAGGACAGATAAAGTTGCTTATGAAACTGTCCTTACCATCTGCCTTGAGTTAAATGTGGAGATTTTTACTCCTCCACTGTGTGCTCTGGAATATGAGAGTTAATGCTAAATCCAAAAGTTGTCATCTCATGAGAGGAGAGGGATTGTGACTGGATTTTTAATTTATATAGATAAGGATTGGGGGGATTGAACCCCAAAGTCTTGTGCATTCTAGGCAGGCACTCTACTCCTCAGCTAAACCTGTTTATTAATATTTGACTCTTTCAAGTACCACATACTTGACAGAAGTTTATTGTGGCTGAATAAATTTTAAGTTTATAATAATAATAGATGAAGAGTGTTTTTTTCTTGATTTATCTTCTTTCAGTTGGAGGAATAGCATTAATCTCATGGTCATGTGTTTGTCATATAGATACCTTCAGACCTTCTGGATAAAGAATTTCTGCCTATCCTACAGGAAGACCCCCTGCCACCATTGGCTCTGGTACCCTTTACAGAAGAAGAACAGGTTTGTGCCTAACTTTGAGTCTCATGTCAAATGCTTGTTCCTTTCTGTTAAGTCATGAAACTGGGAAGCTAGTACTTTGGCCCCAAGGATTATCCTGAGTCTTCTCGGGTCTGTTTCCTTCTTACAAATTCTTGGTATGTGGATGCCTTTGAATTGCCTGAGTTTTGCATTTGAAGCTGTGGACTATCATATAGAGATGAGAAATGTTTCTTGGGCCTTAAGGATAATGAGAACTATCCCTTATAATGTATTATAAGTAGAGAAGAATTGATGCTTTTTGAAGGGTAAGGAGAAGTTCATCTTTGTAGAAAAGCATAGTTTTCCATAAGTCATTGCCAACCTATATTCTCACTATTGCATTCTTTTTACCACTAAAGAAAAATGATCTTCATCTCAGAGTGCAGCTAAAACTCTCTTTTTTTCATAATATTGTGAGAGAGAAAAACTTCTGGGCTGGAAAGAAACAAATTTTGTATTTTCCCTATTCATAGGGCACTGTGTCCTAAGCAAAGATAAATGAGTGATTTCAAGAAGCTTATGATGATTGTATTACAATGGAGAAACGAATTTTGTTGGAATGCTGGAGTGCTAATTTAAATAAAAAATCATTATGACTTAAAAAAATAGCTTTAATGGGATATAATTCATACTCCATACAATTTATGCTTTTAAAAGTATACAAACCAGTTACTTTTAGTGTATCTCTGAGTTATACAGCTGTCACTGTCACTGCTATCTTAATTGCAGAACATTCTCATCATTATGTTTTGTGATAATCCTGGATATATTTTCTGTAACTCATGTTTTTCATGGATGAAGCTATTGTATCAAGAAGGAGCAGCTTATTAAAACAGCTCTCTGTTAGAATCGTGTTAAGATCTAAGAAAGATATAGTAGTCATCTTTGGTGATTCTTTTTTTCTTAGCACCTAAATACTACAACTTCTTTTATATCCTTATACAAATTGAGAAAGAATATAGAGGAAAGAAATTTTAATGTACCTCATTTTTATAAATTTTATAAAAGACATATTTGTCTCACAAAACAAAGGGCATTTTTTTTTTTTTTTTAGTGTAAATAGCTATAAATGCTTCCTGCAGTAAGGTAGAATAAATACCCAGACCAACCTCCCCCCCCCCCCAAAAAAAAAAAAGAACTTATTTATTTATTTATTTAGTTGTAGTTGGATACACTACCTTTATTTATTTATATGCAGTGCTTAGGTTGAACCCAGAGCCCCACACGTGCTAGGTGAGCGCTCTACCATTGAGCCATAACCCCAGCCCTTAGCACCTAAATTTCATAAACATGTTTTGTTCTATTTATAGCTTCTAAGTCAGGCTAGTTCCATCTTCATTCATAAAACCCATTATCTTCTAGGATCATAATGATATTTTCATTGACAAAACAGTAGTTTATGCTGTAAAGAACACTGGAAAGAAAGAACCCTGTCCCTTGTGATTGCTGAAATTTCTTGCCGCTGCACCCAATCTCTTTTTATTGATTTTTTTTATTTTGAGGTAGGGTCTTGCTAAGTTTCTGAGGCTGGCGTTGAACTCATCATCCTCCTGCCTTAACCTTTCGAGTTGCTGGAATTACTGGAGTGAGCCACCATGTCCAGCTCTATCCTTTTTTTTTTGGTTTTAAAAAAGTAAGATTTTCCATATAGTTGAAACTTCTTAGGGTTATATGTCTCTGTTTCTTCCCAGAGATTACCATGAATTGGTTTTTCTTATTCATGTTTTCTTATTTTTGTTACATATTTATACATGTGCCATAAAAATATTTTCATTTTATAGGATTATACATTTTACATTGAAGGTAGCATACTTTATGTTTTTTCTCTCAACATTTTGATCTTTAGATTTAATAATGTGGATACATGTAGTTGTCAATTGGTCATCTCTACTTTATAGTACATTCTGTGGTATAAGAAATGTCCACAGTTTTTCCCATCCCCTATCTTTAGATATTTAGGTTGTTTTCAGTTACTGTTGCCTACTATAGCTTATGATACAGTGAATATTCTTCTCCATCTGCACCCCCCCACCTTTTTTTTTTTTTGTACTGGGGATTGAACCCTGTTGTGCTTTACCACTGAAATACATTTTTAGCCCTTTTTCTTATTTTGAGACAAGGTCTTGCTAAGTTGCTGAGGCTGGCCTTGTATGTGGGATCCTCCTGCTTCAGCCTCCCAGTTTGCTAGGATTACAGGTGTGTACCACCATATCTGGTGCTCCCCATCTTCCCACCAGGTTCTGGGAATCAAACCCAGGGCCTTCTGCTTTCTAAGCAAGTTCTCTGTCAGATATAGACCCAGCCTCTGCAGTGATAATTCTTATAGTGTGTTGTAATCACTGGGTGATTACACCCAATATATATATATACTTTTGCAAGCAAATATATATATGTATTTTCCTCCTTTAATTTCAAGTGGCAGTACAGACTAAACATTGTTCTGTTCTTACAAGAATTGAGTTAAAAAAATTTTTTTTTTCCTTTTAGTTGTCAATGAACCTTTCCTTTATTTATGTATATGTGGTGCCGAGAATTGAACCCAGTGCCTCACATGTGCAAGGCAAGCACTCTACCATTGAGCCACAACCCCAGCCCAAGATTGAATATTTTTATTAAATGTATTCCCTGCAAATTTGGAAAAAATTTCTTCCATTTTTGTATCTTTCATTTCTTTGTTCATAACAGTGAAGAGTTTATCAAATATTTGTTTATTGCTGATATTTTTGTTAATCTTTTTCTTTTTGTCTGCCAGTTTTTCTTTTTGGATCTTATTTTGTTGTTGTTTTATAGTATATATGTGAGCTCCTTATATTTCTATTGGCATAGCTGTGCCCCATAGGTTTTCTGAATTTTTAAATTATATTTATTATTAAAAGACAGAAGCTAAGTTTTTTGGCACTGCTGTATACCAAACACAGGGCCTTGTGCGTTCTAGGCAGATGCTTTCCCACTAAAATCTACATCCCTAATTTTTATGTAGTTCAGTATACTAGTTCTATTCTATTTTTTAGTTGTTGTTTTGTGTGTGTGTGTGTGTGTGTGTGTGTGATTTTTTAAAAATTTTTTCATTTTTTTCTTAAATGATTCTCTAGATTTCTTAGAGACTGTCTGGGCCAGAAAAGCTACATAATGAATAGGGAAGATGACTCGCTATTAGTTACCAAAACCTGGTGGACTTTTAAGCAACAGAATAAGTAATTGAATCATCCAGAAATATCCCTTAACATTCCTAAGAAATTAGAATGTAGTAAGTGTCTATATAAGTCATTTGGAAAAAATCAAAGATTAATAAACTAATGTTATTTGGGAGTTGTTGGTTAACAAAAGTTAACCAGTAACAGTTGTGTTAGAAATTTATTAGAAACGAATAAATTAGGTATGCATTCCACCTACACACCAAAATTAGTTCTAGAATAACTTAAGGAACAGGTCTTAATTTTGTTTTTATGATAGAATTGTTTGTGTTAAGGGCTACATTTTACGATCATCTAGCTTTAATATGAGGACTGAGAGATTTTCACCACAGCCACAGAAGTTCATTAGGGTCTGTCTTTGGAGGCATTTAAATGGTATTATTTAGGATTTCCTGGTACTTACTTGGTAGCCTTTGTTATTTATAAAATATTTTGGAATCATTGCTTATGCTTGACTAAAGATTTATCAGAAATTTGATATTTGTCCTTTGGATGATCAGATTACCCCTCCAGGGATTGTGTAGATCTTCATTGTTCAGAGTTTTGTATACTTTTTATTTCAGTACTCCTATAGGGAGATAAATATTTATAATGATGTAAAGTGAGCTTTTGGCTGTGTGCTTACTGACAGAGGTAATTTTGTCTTTAACGTGTTCTTTCCCCAGACATGGTGGCACATGCCCAAGGATCTTAAGGTCCTAAGCAACTTAGTGGGACTCTGTTTCAAATTAAAAAATTCAGAGAGAATTGGAAATTGTAGCTCAGTGGTAGGGCATCCCTAGGTTCAATCCCCAGTACCAAAAAAAAAAAAAGTGGTTTATTTCTCTCCCCACTCCTCCCTCTCTTTCTGCCTCTCCCTCCCTTTTCTCTGTCTCTCTGTGTATGTACGTGTATGTATATTTATATATATGTATCAAATATAACCAGGGAGAAAAATGTTTTCTTAGATCCAAATTATTGTTCAAAGATCTTCTAGTTCTTTTGGTTTGGTATTTCTTTTGACTAGCACAATTTGAGAAGGATGGTTCTCTTTACTACACTCGTAAGTAACTAATATGAGATTGGTAAATTCTCTGGGCACGGTGGTGCATATCTGTAATTCCAGCTACCTGGGAGGCTGTGGCAGAGGATTGCAAATTTGAGGCCAGTCTCAGCAACTTGGTGAGACCCTGTCTCAAAATAAAAGGACTGGGATGTAGCTCAACGGGAGGGCAATCCTGGGTTCAATTTCTAGTACTGCCAAAAAAGGGGGCAAGAAACCTTAGAGGAAATTGGTGAATTTTATTTATTTGACATCAAAGAAAATTTGCATTTTTTTAAATATTTATTTTTTAGGTGAAGATGGACACAACACAATACGTTTATTTTTATGTGGTGCTGAGGATCGAACCCGGGTCCTGCCTGGGAGCGCTCTACCGCTGAGCCACAATCCCAGCCCCGAAAATTTGCATTCTTAAATAGATAACACACACACACACACACACACACACACACGCACGCACGCACACACATGAAAATTAAAAGAAGCAAAAATAATGGAGAAGTAAACTTTGTTTACTGTTACTTTCCTCAGGGATAACCATTTTTTTTTTCTTTCTTTTTTCCCCTGCTTGTGTTTCTTTTCAGGGGTGTTTAAGACATTTACAACCATCTGTATATTCCTTTAAACCCCTCCACACTATAAATGGCAGCATGCTGTGCATGAAGTTTTACACTTTATGGTTTTAACCTGAGCATCTGTCTAAAAGATAATGGCAGATACTTACATTGAGTTGTAATATGTTTCAGACACTGTTCTGAATACTTGGCATTTAATGTGTAGAGTACTTGCAACAACCCCTAAGGTAGATAAAAATACTCTGTATCCCTGTATGTTAGGCCCACCATAGGAAATTGTAGTGTTGGTAGATGAGAAATGGATGAATATTAAGTTTCATATGGTTCAACTTAAGAAATAGAATTTCCTCATTTTTGTAAACAAGTGTGGAATTCTAAGCCTACAGTTTTTCATTTAGCCCCTATTGATTAATATATAGATGGTCTCCATTTTTTTTTTTTTTTTGCTTTGCTTTGTACTGTAGTTAAAAGTCTTTCTACTTATGTTATTTTTTGCATATCTAACAGGTGGAATTTTTGTGTCACAGGGTATGAACATTTAAATATACTTTGAGAAGTTACCTTTCAAAAAGATCTTATCAGTTTGCACTTTTAGCAGTAATGTTAAAGTGTATATGAAAAAACACGAGTTTCCCCCATTTCTAGATGGTGTATTTGGATTTAATGCATGTGATAATTTGGTAGTAAGGTGATCATTAGCATGGGATACTGGCATATAAATTGCAGTTACTCTGACTTATTTATTTTAGTATTACAGTATGTTAATCACATTTTGGAGACGTCATAGTCTTTTACTATAGTAATAGCTAGAGGCATTGTTCAGTACTCTGGCAATAGGTAAGTTATATATGTTTCAACCAATTTAGTTTTATTTAAGTATAATTTGAAATGAGATATTTTTGGTTAGGTGCTTTCTCATTCTTCAGTTACATCTTAAGTCTGTTGTATGATCATATATGAATAGAACTGGAAAAAAAACTTTACATTGATAAGGTTTCTAAAATTTACTTGAACACATTATTTTGAATAAAATTTTGAAAAAGACAAACAGTGAGAAAATGGCCTAGAACTAGAAGAAAGTTCAATAAAGAAAGTAGTTTTTTAAAATCCATATATAGTCTTCCAAAGAGAGAGGTATGGATATCATTTTAATTGGTTTGAAGTCATAATAAAAAAAAATCACTGGAAACCACTTAGGATTAAAGCATGAATTGAGTTGAAGGTTTCTTATTCACTCCAACTCTGAAACTCACTCCTTTCCCATGAGGGCTCTTGGCTTCAGCCACACAAGGTTCATTTTTTCCCCAATATACCACTTTGTACTTTTGTGCAAAAGTCTGTTAGGTTCCAAGGGTACAGAAAGAGTGAAGGATCTATTGCAACATTTCCTTTTTTCCCCACCTTTTTTTAAAAAAAGAAATGTTTATTTTTTAATTGTAGTTTGTTGGACACATACATTTATTTTATTTATTTTTATGTGGTGCTGAGGATCAAACCCAGGGCCTGGCACGTGCTAGGCGAGTGCTCTACTGCTGAGCCACAATCCCAGCCCCTTTCCCCACATTTTTGTTAGTGCATTATAGTTGTACATATTGTGGAATTTATTGTTAAATATTTGTACAAGCACACAATATAACAATATAATTTGGCCAATGTCACTCTCCAGCATTCCCCACTTCTTCCCTGCCTCCCACCAATTCAGCATGTTCTTAGTTTAAAACCCTCTTGCAAAATTCTCCATCAAATGCCAGGTATTTTTTTTATTTATTTATAGATTATTTTTCAAAATTTTTATGATTATTTATTGTTTATTGTTTTCATAAGCCCCCATTTATTCCACTTATCCCAAAGGGTTATTTCTTGGCCTCTCCTCTTGCGGTGTGGATACCTACCTCCCCACCATTATCACATTGTACTTGACCCTATTCCAGATTTACTGAGGGTGTAAGTGCATGTTATTGACTGATTGGATTTTTTTAAAAAAGCATTTCCTTTCTTTCCCATTCATGTATTATTCATGTAGCAGATCTTATATAGATTCTTAGTTGGCCTTTGCCCATTCACTTCTGATTCCTGTCACTCTGTCAAATACACCTTTGATTTGCTAATTCACAGTGCTGGACAGAATGAGGCAGAAAGATAATTTTCCTCTCTATCATTCTCTCTTTCATCAGATTCTTAGGCCCTCCTCCCTCATATTGGGGATTGAATCCAGCAGTGCTCTACTAGTTACATCTCTAGTTCTTTTTTATTTTGACACAAAGTCTTGCTAAGTTGCTGAGGGTCTCACTGAAGTGCTGAGGTTGACCTCAAACGTGTGATCCTCCTGCCTCACCCTCACGTGTTGGTGGGTTTACATGTGCATTGGACTTTATGACTCTCTTATTTTTTCATTAGTTGAAAGGACCCTTCAAAACGAGATCTCTCTTACCAAGTTTCCTCTGTTGCCTGTTTACCTTGTTTGCTTCTAGTTATATACAGCATTTAGTTTGTTTACTTGTGTATTTCCTCAATGTACCTAGCATCGTGTAAGGTATTAGTTTTCATTGTTATTGATCTGAAATGTTAATTTGAAATTGTCAGGTAAAACCAGGTTTTGGATTATCTGTGCATCTTGTGTCGTTTTGATTTCACATTGCTAGTAGTATTTAGATGCCATTTTATACTTGGCAGTGGGAGGTGGGGAGAAGCAACATGTAGTTTTATCTGTTTTATCCATTTTTCTTTCTTTTTTTATTTTTTGGCAGAGAAACTTTTCCATGTCTGTAAATAGTGCCGCTGTCCTGCGATTGACAGGACGAGGAGGAGGAGGAACAGTGGTGGGGGCTCCTAGAGGTCGAAGTTCTTCAAGAGGGAGAGGTGAGCGAGTTTTCACATGAAAAATAATGATGAAGGAAGAGGAGGATAGGGAAATCACTTACTAAATATTTTAATGCTTATTTTAAAAACAACAGTTGCTCTTTGACATTAACTGCATACTCAATGCCCTGCACATATCTTCCCTAAACAAAACTTCAAGGCATCTTCTCTGCAGTCCCTGGTTTTGAGCAGAGGAGAGTAATTCCAGTGGTAGAGATTTGAACATGAGGGAGCCTGGACAGTCCCAGTTAATATGTGAAAATTCTAGTCATCCATGTTTCTCGTCCCTGGAGGGCTCTGTATTTTGGGAATCAGAGTGTCCTAAAGGGTCTTGGCTGCTGAAGCAGTACTGAGGCCCCTGTGGTCTCCATGCATAGACTTTCTATATGAGAGCTGTGTGCTAGGAATGACCTCAGTCATAGAGGGACTTCATCAAAAATTGTCTCATCAATGCTAGGAACTTTTTAGGGAATAGAACAAAAAACAATTAGGCAGTATTTACTTATATAACATACTTTTATAGATTTATGTCTTAGAAAAGTAATTTGTGTTTTACTGTTAACTTGCTTTTTTGATATCTGCTTCTTATTTTGGGCCTAGTGATTTTCTGCTAAATAAAGACATTCATGATATTATAATATAAAAATTTATTTGAGTATTAACCCTGTGTTGGTTAAATTATATAGTAGCCTGAATGTATCTCATTTTCTCTAAGAGAAGCTTTAGAAGTAGAAGAATGTAGTGTCTGCTTTGACAGACCATTGTCCCCATTTCTTATACCTCCACATTAGCTTGATCATGATATGGGGTACCTGAATTCCTTTTGCAACTTTAAGATTGTGCCTGGGCTGGGGATATAGCTCAATTGGTAGAGTGTTAGCCTCACATGCACTAGGGCCCTGGATTCAATCCCCAGCACCACCACCAAAAAAAAAAAAAAAAAAAGTGTGCTTTCTGAATAGGGTAATTTATATACAATTAGGTTTTTTTAGTATTTATTTATTTTTTTTTTTGTAGATGGACATAATACTCTTATTTTATTTATTTATTTCTATCTGAACCCAGTGCCTCACAACGTTGAGGCAAGTGCACTACAACCTCACCTCAGCCCCAGGTTTCTTTTAATTTGTATCCAGGGGCGCTCTACCACTGATCTGCATCCCCAGTGTTTTTTATTTTTTATTTTCAGATAGGGTCTTGCTAAGTTGCTGAGGGTCTTGGTAAATTGTCAGGGCTATCCTGAAAGTTATGATCCTCCTCCCTCAGCCTCCTGAGTCATTAGGATTATAGATGTGCACCATCATGCTTAACTAATTAAGTTTCTTTTAGTTGTTTATGTACAAAGTAGGAATGCAGGTGTTATGAATAGTGAAGATGTTAACTAAAACTCTTCACTTGTTTTTGTAGGTACTATTACCTACTCATGTTTTTTTCTTCTGAATTTACTTATCTTTAGAACAGTGGTTGTTAACCTGAGGAGTTGTTAGACTCATCTGTAGGCCTTTCAGGAAATGCCACTGCCACAGTAGTAGTGAGATTGTGGAATATCTGTGCTGCAGTACCTCCATGGGCAGCTCAGGTTTGCACACCTGGCTAGGTTCCTGTTGTTCAATTTGCCTGAGAATTGCCTGAGATCTCTGCGTCTTGGTGATGTGTTGGTGTTTGAGGATGTGACTGACCCCTCATGGCTCTGCCTCTAGTTGTGCATTTTCTGTGTGTTCCTGATTTAATGTGACAGGAGAGGTTTCACCCAGGCAACTTTGCCTCCAGTGCCTTTCAGGTTGTCAAAGAGAGATCTTCTTAATCAAGAAGTATGAATCACACTGATTCTCTGTGCTGCAGATATGAACTAGTCTCTCCAGGCCCTTATAAAAAACCCTGTGTATTGACAAACAGTTGGATTCTCTTGCTTTCTGGTTTTATTGAAATGAGGATTATAACATAGAACTCTTTTTAAGAACTTAAATAGAGTATGTATAAAATACATGCTGTGACATAGAAGAACTAGTGACTAAATCAGTGTATAATGTGAAAAATCATAAAACTAGTCAAATGAATGCACTTGACTTTGTGAAAAATACTTTTAACTCCAATGTCACAACCACCTGTAGTTCTGTTTAGTAATCTCTGCAGCTCATTTTACAAAAGAAGGTTGTAATTATTAAATCTGTGGTTTTGTATTTTTCAATTACTTAGTTTTAATTTGGTGGTTAAATAATGATTATTGCAGCTTTTCTTTGCATGGGCAGAGCTAACATAGATGATTATTTTGTCTCTTTCCAACTCTAGGAAATGTTGATGTGAAAATTGAGTTGTAGATTTCTAAATAATCATTAAACAATTGGTTGGAGGAAACAATATAATGTTGTCTTTCTTTTTTATCTGGTTTGGATGTTTAAAAAGAAAACAGATCTGTGCAATTGTCAACCACTGTTCTCAGCATTATTAAAAGGAAGCATATTTAAATTCCCAAAAGAATGATATGAAATTTCAGACAACAGGACAGTCCTTTTGTTTTTGGTGGTGCTGGGATTGAACCTAGGGCCTCAGGCATGCCATTTAAGCTTTTTACTACTGAGCTGTGTCTGCAGCCCTGTTTAGTTTATTTGGCCTCAAACTTGTGATCCTCCTACTCAGAGTAGCTATGATTATAGGAGTGCACCATTGCGCCTGGTTAAATTTAGCTTTTTGAAAGGTTCATCACATATTTTCTTATTCTTTCATGGGAACCATATTTGTAAATGATTTAAATTTGATAAACTGGAAAGCTGTAAAATCTGACTCTTTTTTATGTGTACATTAATCAAGCTTCAATCTCATAAGCAGGACCAGGACCAGGACCAGTGCTAGTACTCGCAGAAAATATTTTATATATGTTTTCCTGGTAACCTGAAAGCTATTTTTTATATTAACGTGTTTCTAGAAAAAAAATCTTCTTTAAGATGATACATGTGTAATGGCTTCCCTGAAAAAATTGTTCTCTAAAAGGAGAGCGAACTTTTTTTTTTTTAATCCCCAGATCATCATTGTGGAATACCCTGCTCTTACATTATAGTTTGTTTTGCACTGTTATAAAATGTATACATTTCATGAAGGGGAAAGGTACTTAAATTATGAGTTGATTTTAAGTTGACTTAAAGTGAATTTTATAGAACTGAAAGGTGACTTTAATATTGTTACAGTTCAACTGTGATTCTCACTTCCATTTTACAGATGAAGAGGTGGAGACTTAAGACTAGTCACCAAAGTTCCTAAGATTACCCACATACAATTCTGTGCATTATTTTAATATTTCATAATGTGGTCATACAAAAGTACAGATATATTCTGTTCTTGATAGATAGTAAGGAAGAAGTGAATAATTGGAATAATTTTATTTGGCTTTGGAATACATTCATGCTTTTATTTAGTATCCATCATTTTGGAGATAGAGTCCCGTAATAGAGTGCTTGCCTAACATATGGGGACTTTGATTCCATCCCTAGCACCACAAAGTAAATAAATAAAAAGATTAGTCATTTTTCTATTGAGTCATTTTGTACTGTGGGAGGAATTGAGTTCAGGATGATGGCTAAGATTTCTTCTAGTTATAAGTACATCCCCCAACCCCCATCCCTCCTCCATTTTTCTCACCAGTGTATTAGATACAGATGTGTACATTAGTTAGGAATATAGTACATGAAGTATAAAGCTGAGAGTGTATACTTTACTTTCTGCCTCCAGATCCAGCAACTGGATAGTCATTCTTCCTGAGCCTAACTGTGCAGCAATATTGGAATAATTTTTATATGCATTTCTCTGTGGTATGCTTTTGTTATTCAGTAGCATAATGTAGATTTCAGTTAGTATCAGTGCTTTGTCTTCTGTGGCTTCATAATGTTATACCATATTGATTTATCAGAATTTTTATAGCCAATCCTTTATTGATTAGGTTGTTTACTATTTTTAAAAATTGCAATGAACACTTTCATATACATGTATAATTATGTATCACTTAAGGGGTACATTCTGAGAAATGCATCATTAGATGATTTTGATTTCATTGTTGTGTGCACATTATAGTATACTTACACAAACCTAGATAGTATTTCTCAATTACTTGACTTGGCCCCTTGTTGCACTTGAGAGACAAAGTGTATGAGGCTGCTGCCAGTATAACATGGCATACTGTTTTACAGTAAACTTTTTTTTTTTTGTACCAGGAATTTAATGCAGGAGTGCTTAACCACTAAGCAGCATCCCCAGCCCTTTTTATGTTATGTTTTGTTTTCTTCTTGAGATAGGGTTTCATTAATTGCTTAGGATCTCCCTAAGTTGCTAGGGCTTGTTTTGAACTACCGATCCTTCTGCCTCAGCCTCCCAAGCTGCTGGGATTTCAGACATGTGCCACCATCTCCAGTCCAGTAAACTTTTTTTTTTTTTTAATAAGTGGAAGGAGTATGCTCTATAATAGTGATAAAAGTATAATATAATAAACACATACACCACTGACATAGTCATTTATTATTGTTACCAAGTACTGTGGATTGTACATTGTTGTATGTGCCATATTTTTATGACTGGCAGTGTAGCAGCAACATTATCCGAACATGCGAGTAATGGATTGCTCTCTGAAAACATTATGTTGGTAGGATGTCTCTACAGGTAGATAGATAGTTTTCAGCTCCATTGTAATCTGATTAATTACTGTTGGAAAAGCAGTCCAAAATTGACCAAATTTGTGCAAGTATTTCTGTTGGGATAAATTTTGAGAAGAATTGTTTAGTCAGATGTTGGTAGATTTAGCCAAATTACCTTTAATAAAGGCCAGTTTATATTTGAACCACTAGATCATCTAAATCCCTATATCTATACAGTAATCAGCTCTGTGGCTGGAATTTAGTCCTGATACTTTTCCTTATCTCAAGATTTGAGTAGAAGGTAGAGGGTGCTTTTTTTTGGCCTCTAAGGAGTTCTTTTATGAAATTGACAGTTTTAGAATTGACCCTATTAAGTTATCCTTTTTCTGAGATTAGATAAATTACTTTAACATTTTGCTTGACTCTTTTACTGTAGTTTCTCTTTTCACACTCTTCAGATTAAGATTTCTCTCATTTTGATTGAAAACAATCCAATAAAAGGCTTAATTTGCAGTAACTGTTTATGGATCTACTTAGAATTTCACTATTGAAGTTTTTATTAAAGAGCTTATGTTGCCAGGCTCAGTGGCAAATTTAAAACAACGATAACAAGGGCTTTCAGCTTGAATTTGTTCTTACTGCATTATTTTGTATTCTCCTTTCCTTTATTCACTTTCTATATTTAAGTTTCCTTATGTATCATGGGGGATTGCTTCTCTAAATTGATGTCTCTCAGATGACTTTTCTTGATGATAATGGTTTATATACCCAAGTAAGGCATAGCTATATCTTGGTTTGTAATCCCAGCAGCTTGGGAGGCTGAGGCAAGAGGATTGAGACATCAGAGCCAGCCTCAGCAAAAGCAAGGTGCTAAGCAACTCAGTGAGACCCTGTCTCTAAATAAAATACAAAAATAGGGGTGGGGATGTGAATCAGTGGTCAAGTGCCTCTGAGTTCAATCCCTGGTAACCCCCACCCCCTCCAAACAACAACAACAACAACAAGAGTTTATGTTAATTTTCATTATTGCTCAGGACTGGGTGGGACTCTTCCTTTAGTTATTTTTTTATTTTTTTATTTTTCAGCCTTGGGTGGGTAGTTACTTTGGTGCTATCATTGGTCCCACAGGTTAAGATCCATCAGGCCTTGTAAAATATTTAAATGTATATATCTTATTTGTAGAGACAGAACTTTAGAGGATAATCTGTCTTGTCAAATGTGCTGGATGTTGACTTCTTATTTTCCATTTTTCTTATTTTCAGGCAGAGGTAGAGGTGAATGTGGTTTCTACCAAAGAAGTTTTGATGAAGTAGAGGGTGTGTTCGGTCGAGGAGGTGGCAGGGAAATGCATAGATCACAGAGCTGGGAGGAAAGGTAATGAAGGATTCAGATCTTGGTGTAAAGATTTCTTGGTATATAAAACGTACTTATTTTTTGCTTTCTGCAGAGACGCCTCTGTGTAGTTACAAGGTTTTATTTATTTTTTAAATGCTGTTAATTATTGAATATTAATTTGTGAAAAAAAATGATCCTTATTTAAAAGAAGATGCATATTGGCACTAAGTAATGTTAGTGCCAGTATGGATGACAGTTTGCTTTTTGATTAGTGTTCAGTGGGAAGCATTGCCGTTTTGAAAGAGGAATTAAGAATTAACCTGCATTGTAAAAGCATCTTCCTTTTATTGTTTAACTTTATATGAAGTCTGTGCAGATGAGTGAGAACTGTTGCACAAAGGTGAATGTACAAAGATGTTCACTCTGATGACATTTATACTATAAAATATTTGAAAACAAGTGAAACAGACTGACATTGCCCTGATAATAATAGTATAAAATAAAGTGCTATAAATAAAATACTATATAACAAAGATAAGGATGATTTTGAACATGTTTAATGATTATGGGGAAGCACATTCAGGTTCCATGTGTTTAATTAAAAGAAATAATATTCTAGGTTAATAGAAGCTGTATCTTGGTTTGTGGTGTAGTACTTTCCTTCCTATATTTTCTAAAATTTAGACAATACCACGCATTTGAAGAAAGAAAAATCTACTGTTAATGGAAATACAGGAAAGTGGATGCCATGGATGGAAAGTCTATATATTATTTGCAAACCTTGTTTGAAACTTGTTTTATCTTTTCTAGGGGTGACAGACGTTTTGAAAAACCAGGGCGAAAAGATGTAGGTAAGTAAGGTTCTTGAAGTATATTGTGGCCCTCCAAGGCTCATAGGAAAGGATAAATTTATTAAAAATTGATTCATTACCTACACCTCTCCAGTAGATGGGGTTGTAGCATTGTTTGCACTTAGAATTTTATGATTATTTCAGGTCTCCATTGCATGAAACCAGAGGTGATGAATGAACCATTTAGGATTTACTTGTTAGGTTTGTGTGTTCTCTACAAGGCCTATATTGTTCCTAAGCCTCCTGTCCCCTTTTTTTCTGCAGTACTGGGTATTAAACCTGGGAACACCCCTAACCCTTTTTAGTTTGAGACAAGGACTTGCTAACTTTCCAAGTCTGACCTTGGGCTTGTGATCCTTCTGTCTCAGCTTCCCAAGTAGATGGGATTTCAGGTGTGTGCTACTGTTCCCTGGCATTAGGACCCCGTTTTGAACTGAAATTTCAGGATAGGAATCATAATTCCTAGGATATATAGCATCTCATATGTGAGAAGAAATAGGGAAAATGCTAGTATCTTTGCTTTAGTAGTAAAAGCTGAATCTACAATTTTTTTTTTTGTATGTGGTATATACTTTCTGTTTTCTCGTTTTAAGAGCAATTAAATTATATAGTTAAGATACTCACTGAAGTGGAAGAGGATAAGGGGAATAGGAATTCAGTGTTGCTGAATTAATCATGGTTTATATAAAATAATTTATAATGTTAAGATGGTTTTCAGACTGATTAAAGGCACTGCATTATATACTGCCTGTAGATATTAGTATCTGAGAGAAAAAAAGCCTATTCATACTACTGTTGGGGTTATGAAAATTACCACACAATTTCTAAATTCCTCCAAGTGCCAGAAAAATTCTTCAGTGTTATTGTATGATAGTGACAAGCATTTCTCATCAAATGTGTTAAATATGTAAATACCTTTCATAGACTGATTTGCAGACTGTTTTGAGAACAAAGTAGTTATTAAACAATTTTTGCTTTATTGTTTCATATAAAATTTATTTAAACGCATCAGTGATTTCAATTTATTATTCATTTACATGGCTTTGGAAATACTTGCTTTACATTAATGAAAAAACAGTTCATGAGTGAGGCATGAAGAAATTTGAATCAGTCTGTGTGGATAATTTGTTGTCAGCTTTACCCATATTGTAGACTATTGGATGAATGTTATCTTGGAGGACTTGTTAGGACCTCTGCTCTCAACCTTGTCTGATTCAGTACTTTTACCAGTTAGTAGGGAGAGGCAGCAAGATTTAAATAATACATGATTTAGAAACAAAAGATTGGGTATTCTGAATTCTGAGATGTTTATTAATCTGATAATGAAAAAGGTGGTAATGACTGAAGAAATTTTTAGGATTAAATGAGACTGCATGAAATTTCTTCATTCAACAAATATTGGAATTCCTAATTGTGTGCCTCCCCTTGTCCTAGGTGCTAAATACATATTCCTTTTCTTTGGAAGACGTTGGTGTGATGATTAGATTTGCAAATCATTCAATGTTAAGAGGGCTAGCTGTAGAGTGGTACAGTTTGGACTTGGGATCAGAATTAAGGTGGAACAAAAAACCTGAGTCTAATTAAATGGATATTGAACAGCAGAAAAAGCTCTCTTATAAGTTACTGAATTTAAAATGTAGAGTAGCTGTGTGTAACAGCCTACTTGGGAAAGGCTCAGCTCTGTCAGCTGATAGTATGCTTCATGTTAATCAGCAGCTTGATGGTGTCCTCAAAGCTGAGTGCAGTATTTATTAGACCTAAAGTCTCCTCAGGTGCAGAGGCCCATTGTCATTTATGTTGTCATAGGACAACCTAAACATTCTGTTTATTTCTGGGGCCACACCTTGAAAGGTCCATATATTGGAGTAGGTGGTCCAGGCATTTAAAGCTTTGTGATGAGGACTGCATAAAGAAAATGGGGCTGTTTATATAGAAGACAAGGCTGTGGATTGGGCAGAGTGGGCAGCAGGGTTTACAGGGTCACTGTCTGCAAATATTTGCTAAATGATCATGTGAAAGAGGAATTAAGAATTAACCTGCATGAGTCTCAAGGACAGAAAGAGGCTGAACGATGGAAGGTTCAAGGAGGAAGGTATTTGATACATTCTCTGATAATTAGAGTTGTCTGAAAATGACTACATATCTGAATTTTAATTTGTTGATTCATATTTACACTTTGTGATAGGAATAGATGAGTGAAAGTTCTTTTTCATCATTATTTTTAGTTCTTTTGTTAATCCAACGAATTTTCCTAGCCTCCCTCTATTAAAAATAAAGGTGGTTTTCTTTGTACCCTATAGGAATAACTTTGAAAAGGTGTATTTCACAAAACCAAATTGACATGAAGTTTTCAAGAACATTAAGGAGGTTGATATGCTAGCTACTAATATAATAAAACATGGCAATTTCCACACACATAGTATAGGTGCATGTTCTTTTTTGGGTATCGGGGGCTGGAAATTGAATTCAGGTGCACTCTACTTCTGAACCACATCTCCAGCCCAATTTTGTATTTTATTTAGAGATAGGGTCTCAGGCTTTGAACTTATGATCTTCCTGCCTCAGTTTTGTAAGTTGATGGGATTACAGGCGTGTGCCACCATGCCTAACTGCACATGTTCTTTTTTTTCATAGTGGCTTTTATTGAATGCTTTTTGATAAGATGCTCCTTCAGGTTAACTGTGCTAAGGATCCTGATCTTGTTTCATCACATAATCTTTTTGTTGAAAGTAATATGGATTAAAAGATTATTCAGTACTAATCTCGTTCATGGAACACTTTGATATATGAGTCTCTTGTGAGATGATCTATGATATTGAACTAAGATAATTCAAACATTGAAAATTCCAGAATGATTTGTTCCTTATAAAATTTTGAGATTTTCATATCATGTATTTGCCTTTTTTTTTGCTGCTCAGGGCCTCACACCTCTGGGCAAACACTATCATTGAAATGTATCCTGCCCTCGATCCCAACCCCCTATATTTGCTTTATATAAGAAGGAAATGGTGGAATTACTGATAATTTGGGGTAAGAGTCATGTATAACCTTGTGAATACCCATGGACAATGTGGAGGTAGAAAAAGACCTGTGTTGTTGGGATTGTAATTAGTAGTAATTGATTACTGCACAGGGGGAGATCAGTTCTTGTAATAATCTTGTAGTATGATTCTGTGGGGATAATGTTGTAAAATGAATAATCCACACAATACCAGTAAATGAGCTTAGCCAAGTGTCATACTGACTAGTGCATTTTGGTGTGAAATACTTGGGAACAGACAGAAAATTTTGGTTGTAGACTATTTATGACAGTAAATAATATGGGTTTTTACATACATAAATCTAGAACCTTACAATTTTTAGAAACCACGTGTCTTCAGTTTGTTAAGAGTTGTCAGACCACCTGTGTTGGTTTCTAAGACTTACTTTATATTAGTTCCAGAGTTGTCTATCTGATCATGTATGAGCTCCCTGGTGACCCAGGTTAGTGAACTGCACAGCCCTGGAAGGTAGTGCTGCCTTTCATACTTCCAAGTAGTTTTCTCCTCCTCTCCATTTTTCTGGGAGACTAATGGTCTCTGCAGAAAATAAGCTGGAGACTGTGATTTTTTGTTTTGAAAAATGATGAATAGTGCTCCCAAAAGCTTTCTATTCCCTGCATTGAAGTTTATGATCACATTTTTTTAGTTGTAAAATATTTTTTAAATAGCATTAGTTTAACCGACAGCATTAATTTTTTTTTTTTTTTTGTGGGGGTAATGTGTGGGGGAAGTCACATTTAGTTTTTCAGAGGTCAAGTTTATGTAAAGTTTATGCATGAATTGGGTGATATGAGACTGACTTAAATGGGAACATCAAGCATCTAGAGGGAGACTCAGAGCTCAGGCCTCACACTTTGGCATGTTGTGTCACCTTGAACAGCTTCACTCAACTGTTTAAATAGTTGTCTGTGTAGGTGACATAGTGCTCTTAGGAAAAAAACATACCACGTGAGTCTTTGATACTGCATTTATTTTCATAGGTTAGGCAAATCTTGTTAATTTATTATAAATGAAATAAGAATTCCTGCTGTTGTGTTACAATAGTTTTGGGTTGGGGAAAAAAAAATCTGTTGGTCTGAGTCCTACTTAATGAATGCCTAAGATTCTTGACTAGCAAAGTCCGTGATAATTAGGTTTCTGTATCCTTGATATTCTTCTGCTATTACCAGTCTTAGACCACTCCAAAGTTCTTCATTATTTTCTTTTCCTTTTGGTCAAAGAGTAGAAAAATGTGACTTGCTGCTGTGCCCTGCTCTTTACAACTGCTTGCCTTTACTCAGCTAGTATTTATTTCAAGAGATGATTCCCGCCTGGGTCATCACCAGTGGGGAAGGTTAATCTTTCGCTTTTCCACATGAGCCTGAATAAGGGAAATTTCAGAAAAGAAGAGCAGCTACAAATCTGTTTGAAATCTGATAGGGCTTTTGGTTCTTGTTTTGCTTGAGGACAGCTTCATTTTTTAACTGAAATGAAAATAATTCAAAGAAATGTCTTAAGCTGGATATAGAGAAAGTATTCATCTTAGTATATATAAATGAAAACCAAGGCAGAGAAAGCATAATTTTCATGGCGCATTAGACTTGGAAAGAAATAATAGAGATCATCTAGTCCAACCTCCTACTGGTGAATAAACACTCATTTTGTGTTTATAGAAAAAACTATTTGATGTTGGAAACAGGAATTTGGGTTTGAAAATACTTTGTTGCCCAATTATTTTTTGCTTTATCTATTGGAGTTTTTTTTCCTAGTTGACTTATATCTAACTAAACCTTTATATATCTATAAAAACTTAAACATATGCATATTTATGAACTATTTAGAGCCATCATGGTTTTTCATGTCATTGAATGAGTCATAGGGAGGAAGAGAATTTTTTGCTTAGGTTAGAAGCCATTCAGATGAATAGGTGAATATAGGTTCTAAACCATTATTTGATTATAATGCAAGTGAGTGTTAAAG